CCACACAGCATTTTCTAGAAAACTCCCACAAGTTGTTTTTAATCAACTGACAGACAAAATCGAAATACGCCTGTCCATGACCCGCAGAGCGTTCTAAGAGGCAGATATCGGCAGGCTTGATTTATGGGATTCTTTCCATCTTGAATGGGTAAACTGAGTCACGTAAGCACAGATCACGGGACAGTATTCTATTCTTGTTCCTCTCAAAGAGGGGCTCCAAAGACTTAAAAGGATGAGCAACGGCCCCCCAATAAACTCGGAAAATGTGGACCTGTGAACGAGGTGTATTCACAGTTTGTGCCTGACGTGGGGGCAAAGCCAGCACGAGGGTGTGGTCTTATTTCACATCGCCTTTGGTGTTTACGGCAACACAATTTGATTTTTTTTTAAGTTGATTTATTTATTTTGAGAGAGACAGAGCACGAGCAGGGGAGGGGCAGAGAGATAGGCAGACAGAGGGAGAGAGAGAATGAGAACCCCGAGCAGGCTCCACACTGTCAGCACGGAACCCGATGTGGGGCTCGAACCCACAAACCCGTGAGATCATGACCTGAGCCCAAACCATGAGTCGGACACTTAACCAACTGAACCACCCAGGCGGCCCCCTGCCCCTGCACCCACGAGTTTGAGTTTTAAGTTTAATCTGCCACTTGGTTAACGCAGGAGCCTGGCCAGGGCACAGAGCCACCTTTCCCACTGGCCGGTCCTCCCTGCCTCCGGCTCTTCCATTCCCGATGCCTGGCTCTCACAAGGGCTCTTGTGCTGTCTGCACACCTAGGGGGATGGCGAGGTAGTTGCTGCGGGACTCACCAAGGCCACAGGACCAGGGCGGACAGAGCTGGGATGTTAACCCCAGGAGGCAGCTGCATGGCCCGTGGTCTGGCCTCTACATCATGTACCCGGGAAGGCTGCCTTGGCTGTTCCCATTTTGCAGAGGAGGAAACTGAGGACCAGAGAGTGAGTGGAGGGGGTGCCCACGCAGGCACTTGTGTCCGCGGCCCCACGCGTCATCTGAGATCTGCGCTGATCCACAGCCCAGAGGGGGGCACATGTGTGCAAGAGACAAGAGACCACCCTCCTTGGGGATAGATACTCAGACCTGGCATACAAAGGGGGCTCTGACCCCCAGGTAGGCGCAGCAAGCAAGAACTCTGCCCTTGATCGGAGCCAAGGACAAGGCGTGAGGTCGTCTCAGCACACAGCAGAGTGGAGTGATGACCCTGGGGAATCTCAAAGGTAAAATGGGAAGAAAAATCCTACCTGGGACAGGCAATCCCTCTGTCCCTCACACGAACACACCCTGGGTCCCGGCAAGAAGAAGCAAGAACTATTTATTTATCTTAACATCCAACGTTAGGCCTCAGCTAACGCTATGGCAAACTGTGCCCAGATGTTATTGCAGAGCACAGATCCATTCATCTCCAGGGAAACTCTTCTGCGGGAAGAACTCTCCAGACCCGTTCGAGATATTTACACCGAGCGGGCAGATCGGGGCAGCGGAGTTTCTGTGGCGCGGTGGTTCTCAAAGTGGGGTTTGCCTGGGAACTTGCTGGGACACAAATTCCCAGGCCCTGCCCCAGACCTACTGAATCAGAAACCCTCAGGGTGGAGCCAAGCAAAATGTGTTCTAACAAGCCCTTTGGGGGTGATTCTGATGCTCGCTTAAGTTCGAAAACTACTGACTCAGCGTATGGTGCCCTCACATATATATCATTCCTGTCTGAATGTTCCACTTAATTAGAACTACATTCGAGGTACCGGGAAGAGGGATGAAAGTCTGGCACAGAGATTCGGTCTCCTCTGGAAAGATAACACGTCTCTCGACCCGTCTTGCCAATTTCTCTGCTAACAGGCTTGCTCAAGGACACCATTAATTTCTTTCACTGGCTCTACCTACCCCCTTCGGGAAAGTCTCTCCGGAAAGTATTTTAGAAATAACAAATACTGGCGATCGCGTGGTGAGTATAAAAACAGGTAACAAACACTGATACAAAGACAGCATTTGGGGGACAATGCGTCCCCTGAACCGACACTCGTCTGACATGATTCCCCTTCTACGACCTGAATAAGGGAACCCTGAATTTTTTGGACCAGATGATAAGAGAAAAAGATAAAATATTTTCTTCTAAAATAAGAAAATGTAGGCATTCCCCTTTCCCCAAACTAGTCATGTCCTTGAAAATAAGCCTTTCCTTTCCATTCAGGACATCGGTGTTAGGAACAACTAAGGTTTTCCAAACAAACATCTTATCTTTATCTGGAAGGAAGTTGGTGAAAAAGGAACTGACGTTCTTACCCGACAACGATGACAATACACTTTTGGGTTCCTTTCCCAGAAATTAGTAAATAACAAAATACCTTTCATTTAAAAAGGAAAAATATGGTCCCAGCAAATACTTAAATCTAATCCATATGCCACTCATATGCTTAAAAAAGGAGAGCATTTCTGTGAGCCAATTTCTGTGCTCATTCTGTGCCAAATAAAACAGATTTTAGTAAGAAGCTTTTACTGCCTCAGAGGGAACTCTGTTCATTTTTCAGGGTATAGAGAACTATTTATTTTTCACTCAGAATTCCCGATTCTCTATTTACGATGCATTTTTCCACTCGGGCAGACTTTATCCACTCTGGAGAAGCATGTTAAAATCTGAGAACGCCTCTTCTCCGGACGGAGGAACTTTTAAGATGCTGATCGGGTTCAGCATCAACCTTCGAGAACGCCAGGAAACGCAATTCTCATTGCAAACAGCCTTCAAGTAATAACGATGCTGAACTTGTGGTTTTCGGTGCTAACATCCCTCCCAGTCAGAAGCAAACTGATGTCCCCAGAGGGAGGGGGCTGAAAAGTACTAAATGCTAGAAGTATGGTCTGTGGGTTATGAAAAAGTTCAGATCCTAAACCTCAGAAAAGGTTTACATTTCACTACACAAGCACAGGAAGAAATTTTGGGTTCAATTTGCACATTTAGTCCCGTGAGTGTACGACCAAATGGGGTGTATTTGTACCTAACGCTCTTGGTAACAAAAGACAGCTAAAACATCCCGGAGAACTCAGAAGAGCTTAGGAGCATTAGAAAATGCTAGGGGCGCCTGGATGACTCCGTCGGTTAAGCGTACGACCTCGGCTCAGGTCACGATCTCGTGGTTCGCGGGTTCAAGCCCCGCGTCGGGCTCTGTGCTGACGGCTCGGAGCCTGGAGCCTGCTTCGGATCCTGTGTCTCCCTCCCTCTCTGCTCCTCACCCGCTCACTCCCTGTCTCTCTTGCTCTCTCAAAATAAACATTAAAAAGAAAAAAAGAAAATGCTTAAGAAACACAAAAAATCAAAATATTTTCTTCTAAAACGTGTTGTGTCAGGGTTTTCCCACAGATTGCTAAGGCATGGATGGAAAGGTCTGTCGATGGGAATGGGGTGGTCTCTGAGACCTGGGGATGAAGTTCACACCTGTGAGGACGGAGGACGATTTATTAAGATTTATGAAGACTGATGCACAGACAACCAGGCAAGAAGGAATCTGAGAAGACTACTGCTCCAGAGAGCCACTTAGGCAACTTCTAACCATGACCCCAGGCCGACCGTCCCATCTGGGAGGTACAGACTTAGATTCTAGTTTATTTTAAGGAAAAGCCATCTTATGAATACACACACACACACACACAAAAAAGGGTTCAAACCCAGAGTAGCAGCAGTGTGAAGTTTTCCGCCTCCATGAAGCACGGACAGTCCGGGGACGCTAAGGCAAAAGGAAAGAGTCAGGAAATGAAGCCCCTGTGAGAGAATTAACGTGTGTTCTGTAAAGTCCCTGTTTGCAGCGTGGTGTCCCCGTCCCCCAGGGAGCTGGGGTGCCAGCCCCTGGGAACCTTCCCCGCTTGGTGAACACTAATGCATCCTTACTGTGGCCCGGCGTCTTGGAATGCATGTGGAGCAGGCCCAGCTGTGGGCGCGGCCGGTCAGCCTTGGAGAACACAGCTTCTAGGAGATTCCAAAGTCCGGTGCCATCCCGGCCACACCGTGTGCTGTCCCTGCTGCCCCCCACCCGAATGAGGACGGATGCATTTAGAAGATGAAACCTGTGCATCAGTTTCGCCGTGCATCATCCCGAGCTTCGAGAACAGGAGCTGCTCGGTCAAGGAGCGTCCCGGCCCCTGAGAACGGAGGGCCTGGGATTTCCAATCGCGCTTCACGCCGCGGCAGACTCGCGGGAGGACAGAAGCCCAGTGCAGACCCCAGCTGCTGAGGACAAAGGCTCTTTCTGGTCCACACGTAGTGACAACCCCTTGCAAAGGCGTGACGCTGCTCTGATGATAAACTTCGCACCCGTGGCTTCCTACGTACACGGTCTCTGCAAACGTCCCATCACGTGGAAAGCGACTTAGTGTGAAAGGCCCTCCCTCCTCTCCTGTGCATCTGAATTACTTGGGGCATCTATATTTTACGACCTATCAGCCCTGTCCCGTACAAACTCCAGATTTCTTTCAGTGCTCCGAACCACGCTATTTTCTCATTTAGCGATCATGACGACGCCCAAACTTTTAACGCTGCAGACACAATAAATGCAAATAACAAGCACAGGCCTTGAACGCCTGAGAGCACAGGAGGTGTCCTACCTTCCACACGTGAAGGGAGCGTGGCATCTCATCTTCTACTTTTTTAAAATGTTTGAGAGAGAGAGAGAGTGAGCATGAGCAGGGGAGGGACAGAGAGAGAGGGAGAGAGAGACTCTCAAGCAGGTTCCCCACTCAGCTCAGAGCCCGACGTGGGGCTCGATCTCACACACTGTGAGATCATGACCTGAGCCGAAATCAAGAGTCAGACACCCAACCGACTGAGTCACCGAGGCGCCCCTCACTTTTACTTCTAAATAAAGCTTAAAGATTCGACTGAAACACTCTCCCCACTAAAGCCACAAATTTGCAGAAGGTAGGGCACACAGGGAACTTCCAGAGAAGTCGCCGGTCCTTTTAGCGGATCCACCACTCCCCGGAGCCGCCCTCCGCCTACCTTTTCCGAGGCCTTGTCCTGCACTGGTGGCCCCAGGCCGGGCAGCGTCGGGGGCGGAGGGGCCCGACGCTTCTTCATGTCCGACTTCACAGACACCCCTGAGATGTTGCCAAGCGACAGGGATGGACCCAACGTCATGGAACGCGGATTCACCGCCGGGGAGTTGGGCGTGGTCAGGCAGCCCTGCGGGGAAGGGGACAAAGAGAAACTCTCATCGGTGCGAGGTCACTTCTCAGTGTAGGAGTGCTCCGACCTGAAAACCAAGTGCCACACTGCCCATCCGAGCCTGTAGTATCACGTCCACTGCTGGGCTTGAATGGCCTGAGCAAAACACTCACTTTCAGTCGAAAGCCCGTATTTTCCCTGTGGTGGGAAACACTCCATTGACACATTCCTGCTGCAAAGGTTTCTTTTCTTTTTTCTTTTTGATGTTTATTTAGTTTTGAGAGAGAGAAAGAGAGAGAGACAGCACGAGCAGGGGAGGGGCAGAGAGAGGGAGACACAGAATCCGAAGCAGGCTCCAGGCCCTGAGCTGTCAGCACAGAGCCCGACGCGGGGCTTGAACCCACAAACTGCGAGATCATGACCCGAACCGAAGTTGGACGCTCAAGCGACTGAGCCACCCAGGCGCCCCACAAAGGTTTGTTTTCTTAATCACAAAGGAAACGACAGACCTCTGAAACCCCTAAGAACCCTTACCAGCTGGACTCGTTTAACACTCCTGACCAGACCGCAGTGTGAATCAGCCTCCTTTGAAACGGAACCTGTCTTCGGAACGAGCTTGTAGGTGCTGAACAGAGGAAGGCACAGGCCAGAAGTACATATCTCCCAGAGGAATCTGTCTGTAGCTCTGACCGCACTGAGCCCCCTCTCCGGCCCTCCGGTGGGTCATGTCTGCTCACATGACCTCTCTCGCAGCCAGTTCCAGGGCCCTTGGAGACCTCAGGGAGGCTGGGACAGGGGAAGGCTCGCTTTGGCCTCCCATGCCCATGAATCTGTCAGGGATGCCACAATCTTTCCCCTTCCTGATGCTCAGCTGGGGCTGCAAGGTCTCATTAAAGGGTAGCTGCCGATTAGGTGCGTGCAAGCCCCCTGATCTCACAACGGCGCCCCTACTCTGTGCGTCCCTCGCTCTATAAAAGCTGTGGCGTAAGGTCTGGATTTTGCAGAGAGTAACTATGCAGCAGCTGTGGATTGGCCTCCACCTGATCTCCCACCAGGAAGGTCCCCTGAATAAAACTGTAAAGGAGGGCCTGGGGGACTCAGTCAGTTAAGCGTCCAACTCTTGATTTCAGCTCAGCTCATGATCTCACGGGTCCTGAGTTCGAGCCCCACCTGGGACTCTGTGCTGACAGTGCAGAACCTGTTTGGGATTCTCTCTCTCCCCCTGCCTCTCTCTGCCCCTCCCGTGCACGCATGCTCTCTTTCTCAAAAGAAATGAATAAACTTTTTTAAAAAGGTTAAATATTAAAAACAAAACACAAA